TATACATTAAATATCAATCCAAGTTTTGTAAATATTACATATTTTCATATTTGCAAATATGGATTGGAGTTTAATTATTATGTATAGACACCCATCAAAATGTTTTCCATCCTTAATTTTTAACATTACTCTATGTTTAAACAAACATAAATAGATAAATCGAGTATTTAGCGATTATTGAATTGATAGATTGTCAAATGACGCTCTCCAAGAACAAAAAAAAGAGTAGAGTTCAAATTTTCATTGATTTTACTTCAACAATGTTTTTATGCAAAATTTATTACGTCGTTAAACAACAAATTGTTGACCGGATTGACCTGTCAATATACCGTATAAATTGTTATAATCGTGCAATAATGTTCCTGCGTTTTTTCTAAAGTTTTATAATTATTTAAAAAATTTATTTTACAAAAAACGCAAAAACGAAAATTATTGCTCGGTCATGACATTTCGGGGTCATTAAATAACGATGGAATAACAATTAACCATTTACCAGAAAACTTAAAAAAAAATGTGAATTTTGAAAATTGATAAAATAGTGTCTGTTTTATCAATTTTCCATATAAGAGGCTTATCATTTGAGATAATCATTCCGTCATCTGAAAAAATTAGCCATCAATCATTCCTACATCAATATAAATGAAAACATACACGTATTATCCCTCATTGCCCTAAATTATTTGTCTCGAGAAAATGTTTGGAATTGTTAATTCAGGAATAGGACCAGGACCAAAAATGTTCGAAGCTAATCCAGACACTAAGAGACTTTACGATGATCTACTTTCAAATTATAATCGTTTAATTAGACCAGTGGCTAACAACACGCAACCGTTGATAGTCTGGCTGGGATTGAAGTTATCTCAGCTCATAGAAATGGTAAATCCATAATTTTTCCATGAATTTTCATCTCATGAGAGCCAATATTGCATCCGAATCATCTAAAACGCTGACGATTACTTGCAGAATCTGAAGAACCAAGTGATGACTACGAATGTTTGGGTGGAACAGGTAAAAATACTCCCTCCAACACTTTTCTGCAATGCATCCTGAAATGTGCGATTTTTAATTAATTTTGTTCGATCCTCAATCACAGAAATGGTTTGACTATAAACTTCAGTGGAATCCTGA